GAATATTAAAAAGTTTAACATTGACTATTCTAATGTTTAACATATATAAGGTCCTACTTTAAGCTTGTGATTACATGAAGAGAGTTGTGATTTCGGTGGTTTCTTGTTATGAGAGTTGTGTTGTGCGTAGCGAAAATTTCGGCAGAGTTTCTGGTGCATAATAAAAGAGAAAGATCAATAAGAATTCCCGTCTCACCAAGAAAATAAGAATCTAAAGCGAATATCTCAACAAAGTAAGATTTCGGCTCTTCCTCTCATCAGTTCTAGGACTAACTTGTCGAGGGATCCTAGAAACTATTACAATAGCCACAAACACAAACAAACTAATTTTACGTGGTTCGGCAAACTGGCTACGTCCACAGGGTAAGGAGGGGGGATTTACTATTAGAAGGGAGAGAATACAACTAGCGTTTACAATCTCACAACCTAAACCCTCTCACAAACTCTTAGATCCCTCACACAAATACTCTCTCAAAGGCACAAAAGGACTGCACACAAGAAATCTCCTCTGCGGAAAAATACCTACAGCCTAAAAAAACTCCTTTTCAGCCTCTGCTCTTGCGCGTCTGCAGCCGCCAATCAGTTTCTTTTGCCTGCCGTCAAAACTCCATTGCACTTGCACAAAGCCAAAAAACCCTAGAAACCAATGTGTATTTATAAGCTTCTATCGGGTCTTCGGGTGGGCATTCTTTTGTCCGCTGGATCTTCATCTCTTTATGCGGTTTGTGGGCCATCGAGGAAATAAAAAAAAAGTCTGCTTCTCATCCGTTCACACTTCGTTGTGTCCAACGAACAACTTCGTTGCGTCCAGTGAACAAAAGAACAGAAGTTGGGCTCGTGTTCCCACTTCGTTCACAGCCCCCTCACACACGTGTTCATAATTCTCCACCTCGGCGAAGTTTTTCCAAAACTGAGCCGACACCAACCAAAACAAATGCCTCACTTGTTGCGTCCAATACGAAGTAAAATGATTCACGATAACGGACTCAATCCACACCAAGTTGAGACCCAAACGGGAGTGCGAACACTCTCCTAAAACGTCGGTATCTACTTACCAAATCGGTCTCACCCCCATCAAATAATCCAACCCGGCTGCATCATAAAGACTGCCTACGTATCCTCTTGCCCAAGGAATCAAGCCGAACATAGTTCACCCAAATGGTCGCGAACGACCTCAATCCAATAGAAGAGTTCACAACCCTTCTCCAATATCATCAACTCTGCGGCTGATATCACCTCTAATGATTTCAAATACCTCCACCTGAGGTGAACCAATGGCCATATCCAAACTACATCTATCAGCTGCACTCGAATCAAAACCCAACTCATCATCTGCATCCAAAACCAAATGATCTCCAAACTGTGTCACCTCAGCTGGAATCCCAAATGATGCAGTATGATCTGGAGTATGGGGGAAAATCCCCACTCAATGTGAAGTAGCATCAATCTCCACCCGCTGCGATACCTCTAAGGTCTGTCCAAAACTCTCTACCTGCTGAGAGTCAATTAGCTCCCTCATTGAAGCCTCAACCAAAGTGACATTACCAGACCAAACATCCAATGGAGTTTTACCTCCAATCGTAGCAGTTGACAACTCTTTAATAGGATGACCCAAAAATATCGAATCCTCAGTCCAGAAACTCTTCTGCAGACCATTGCTTGACAACAAACACCGATCCTCCTCCAGTAAGGCACGGTTCTCCAAATTTACCACGCTATCTAGTTGCCCCAAGATTTCCTTTCCAACGAAGTGTCTCGAAATGTCGTGAGCTCGGCTCCAATATAGAAATAGGTCCATCTTGTACATCCCATCAAAATCAGAATGAAGTACCTTTACCTTTCTGTCTATCACACACTTCTTCAATTTGTTAGAGACTACTAGGACTTTCTCCATAGGGGATTTGGTTGTAACCCAAACACGCCTAGAACAGTCACCAACAAAGGAAACCAAACTTCTATTACCTCCCAATGATGCCCCCTTGAAAGGTCCCCAAACATCCACGTGAACTCCTTCAGAACGACCCTTAGCACGGTGAATAGAGGTGCCAAACTTCACCTCAGTCTTCTTGCTCATATCAACATATTCACTGAACTTCATACTGCAGGTCTTCACACCCTCTTTCAATCTATGCGAGGAATCAATACTGGAATGATCAAGCCTTAAATGCCGCAGTCTAGTCGAATCAATAGAAGTCACCAGTTCTCCACCTGCCACTATACCTCCAGTCAAGTAATACATGTTATTCCTCCTGACGCCCTTCATCACAATCTGAGAGTCTTCCACAAACTTGAGAACTATATCCTCAAATCAAACATTCAGACCCTCTCCAACCAAAACTCCAATTGAGATCAAGTTTTTCCTCAAAGAAGGAACATATCTCACATCATTTAACTCCCTAACAGTCTCGTCAAACATTTTTATGTGAATTCTTCATATCCCAAGGATCTGGCATGCACGGTTATCAGCCATGTACACCACACCACTATCCACCAGCTTCTCAAAACTGGCGAACCATTCCCTTCTAAGACACACATGATAGGTCGCACCACTATCCAACATCCATTCAAATTCCTTCGAATAGCTATCTGTAAGGCTGATAGAAAGCAAATAAATAGAAGAGTCAGAAATATTACCATCCGATACGATGTTCGCTTCTAATGATGGTTGCTTCTCGTTTCCCTTCTGCTTATTCTTCATCCATTCGTCAAGCTTTGGTCAGTCTTTCTTCCAATGACCAGTCTCCTTGCACTAAGCACACTGATATTTTCCTACTCTAGACTGTGACTTCCAATTCTTTCGGTTCGGATTTTTCCCTCTTACGACCAACGCCTCTGCTACTAACTCAATCGAAGTCTCCTTATCCTTCTTCCGAAGCTGATAATTCACCAGTACAGCAGTGACCTCACTATACGATAGAGATGTCTTCCCATTAATTAAAGTAAGGACGAAGGTCTCATATTCCTCGTCGGGCAAGGAACTCAACAACAGCAACGCCTTGTCCTCATCTTCAATCATGACATCCACATTCACCAAATCCGCAAGAAGCTTTGTGTAGGTGTTTATGTGATCTCTAATTAAGGTTCCCTTCTTCAACTGGAAACGATAAAGTCTCCTCTTCAAATGCAAGCGGTTCTCAACACTCTTTATCAAATACTTGCTTTCGAGAATCTTCCAAATCTTCTTTGCAGAAGTCACATTCATCACATCATATTTTAGATCTTGAGTCAAACAAGACCTAATCACACCACACGCCGTTCGATTCATCTTCTTCCAAACATTCTCTTCAATGTCATCTGGCTTGCCATCTAACTTCAAGGTATCTTCCAAATTCTGCGCGTTCAGCGCATCCAAAACCTTACATCTCCATAATCCAAAGTTGTTTGTGCCATTAAACTTCTCCACATCTATCTTCATAGAGTGGATATTCAAACTTTGAATGGTCTTCGCGCCCGAAGCACCACCATCGACACCTGAAGCACCTTCTTTCCCCGACATCTTTCTTAATGCACCAACGAACGAAGAATAGATCCAAAACTGAAAAGATAATCTTTACCAAAACATCTCACATTTATCACCAAACAAAGCCCTAGACGAGCTTTCAAATCGATCTACTACTCCAAATAGCCCAAATGTAGCCCAAAATCTGATACCACTTGTTGTGCACAACGGAAATTTCGGCAGAGTTTCTGGTGCACAATAAGAGAGAAAGATCAATAAGAATTCCCGTCTCACCAAGGAAACAAGAATCTGAAGCGAATATCTCAACAAAGTGAGATATCGGCTCTTCCTCTCATCAGTTCTAGGACTGACTTATCGAGTGATCCTAAAAACTATTACAATGATCACAAACACAAACAAACCAATTTTACGTGGTTCGATAAACTACCTACGTCCACGGGGCAAGGGGGGGGGAGATTTACTATTAGAAGGGAAAGAATACAACTAGGGTTTACAATCTCACAACCTAAACCCTCTCACAAACTTTTAGATCCCTCACACAAATACTCTCTCAAAGGCACAAAAGGACTCCACACAAGAAATCTCCTCTGCTGAAAAATACCTACAGCCTAAAAAAACTCCTTTTCAGCCTCTGCTCTTGCGCGTCTGCAGCCGCCAATCAGTTTCTTTTGCCTGCCGTCAAAACTCCATTGCACTTGCACAAAACCAAAAAAACCCTAGAAACCAATGTGTATTTATAAGCTTCTATCGGGTCTTCGGGTGGGCATTCTTTTGTCCGCTGGATCTTCATCTCTTTATGCGGTTTGTGGGCCATCCAGGAAACGAAAAAAAAAGTCTGCTTCTCATCCGTTCACACTTCGTTGCGTGCAACGAATAACTTCGTTGCGTCCAGTGAACAAAAGAACAGAAGTTGGGCTCGTGTTCCCACTTCGTTCACAGCCCCCTCACACACGTGTTCACAAGTTGGAGCTAAGAAGTTTCATCCTTCAAATATGGGGTAATTAATATTTGAAGAGAAATTGAGGGCAGCCCTGTGATAATCTGGAAATATAAAGGACTCAGAAAGAGGAGAGAGAGAGAGACGCGTGTTTTTGGGACCTGCAGGAACGAATGGCCGGGGATGGTCGTAATAGAAGGGAAGACTTTGATGGTATTATGTATTTGTACTTCTTCTTTTTCTTTTTCTTTTTCAACATATATATTTATATTTAAAAATTTTGGTTATTCTTATTTTTTTAAAAGTTTACTTAATTCTAGGTGTCTTTTTTACTATGGTCTATGAGTTACAGTTACTTATCACTTCTATTTTATTAGCCCATACATCTCAAGCTAGCTTTTTTCCCATGAAGTTGTGCCTTTTTCCATTAATTTTTAATTCTTCTGAAACAAGTGATAATCAAATTAAGTTACTCGAGAGAGGACTTGTAATTTTTTTTTTGTAATTAATTAGCTTTTACTATCAATATAAAAAAATTTGTGTCCACTTACAAGGCAATCAATCCATCCCCAAAAAGTTACCGTAAACGATTCAAAAGCAACAAATATCCAACTATTTCAGACTATGTACCTAGCATATATACTCTAATGAATAAATATACAACATTTTACATTTTACAGAAACAACATTAATATACAAGTATACAACATAGAATTTATCTGAAAGACTGGAACTTTGTTTTGTTACTGTCATTGACAAAGAATTCTTTTTCTACACTTCCTTGCACAAATTTTACGAAGGCAATATAATCCCACATTTCAGTGGCAAATAATTCCTAACTTTAGGTTGGTGCCATTAGTTCATGACGATGGCTATGTTCACCAAGAACTTTGTTCAGAATCATGGCTAACCTCACTCCACCTTGAGCAACCCTTTTCATGACAATGGGCATCCGAGAATTGAAGTATTCATCTGAATATATATGATAATAAGAAAGATACATCATATTTTTGTTTTAATAAAAATTAAAAAAATATATAGTCAATTTTCCTACATATAACAAGCACTGATCCTGTACTTAATTATAAAATTAGTCCTTTTTACATAAAGAAACACTTGTCAAATGAAGTACTTAATCTGAATAAACAAGTTTGCTTTTTGAGGAAAATAAACATGTTTTTTGAGAAAAATAAACAACTTTTGTTTATGATAGAAAATATATTTACAATGCATTTTCATCTAAAAACTGCATATTAGTGAATAAAATGTATCAATTTTTCTTAATAAATATCAATAATATAAAAAGAATATAGTTGCAATTCTTTTTTCCTGGTATAAAAATAGTATAGTTGCGATTCTTTTTTCCGGACTACTACATATTTAACCTACCTGAGAGAGTTTCTCCTTGTGCAACTCCGTGATAACCCCATTTACATGCTAAATTTATGCTCTCTGAAGCCCATCTATTCAATGAGGAAACACGTAAAGTAAGAACTGGTAATAATACCAATAGATCCGCTAATTTCTCCAGGAAAAAGTAAAAGCTTAATTACAATAAGCAATAGGCACCTTGATAATAACCATGAGATGCCATAAAATAATCATTATAAAACCTATGAAAAACTATTATGTCAAGCTTCTAAACAATCTAAAACACTCACTTTTTTGGGCAAGAGAGAAAATCATCACAATCTTCCCAAGATGAAGTATCATCAGACCAAATCCCCTGAATTAGAATAAAATATTACAAATTACAGAAATATTAAGTGTCTTAATTTGGACAAATATAACCTTTGATTATGAAAATGCAAACGATAGATGTTGCTTACTTTGGTGATGTTTCTCTGCAAGTCTTGTTGAAAGGCATCCATGTCCTTCTCATAATAATCTGCCAATGCAGTAAGGATAATCTCCCTATCCCAGACCTGTTACAATAATGACAATTCGTCGGATCAGTCAACGAAAATAAAATCAAATTGGATAAATAATATAATATAAATTTTAGGCCCTTCTACATATTACGAATGAATAGTATGCCTATATATACTTAAGGACTAAATTAATTGTACATAACAACCTAAGTATCTGTTGTCAGCCATGCTAATTAAGCGAGACAAATTCAGGAAATTTCCTATGATTTATAAATTTCAGGAGGATTTTGTCAAAAATTGAATTATTTTCTTTCTTCTTGAGACTTACATGGTGAAGATTGGACTTATGCCTAAACCAACGCAAATTTATAGTGTTTCCCCCTTCATCACTTGTGAATCCGACATGCATGGGCTGCGATAAAAAAAAATATGTTACACGCTAGAAAAAAGCGGAACAACAAAAATAAATAAATAAATAATAAACAATGAAAAACATAGAGAGCATTCTGTCAGAAAAAATTGTTCACATTACCTGATGAATATCTCCCATGAAATGTGATAAAAATAGCAGGGACTCAGTCAGATTATCTGTATATAACACCAATTACATACACAGTATTACTATCTAAAAATAGAAATGTATAAACGCATCAATGCAAAGTTTGTACCCACATCGGCGATCAGAGGTCCCTTCTTTATAGTGCATCAATTGTGTAGTGAAGTTACTAACTGCACCGGCAACACACATGTCCTCCAATCCTTTAGGATCATGACAATCCCCTAATTAAAATATTTGTTTGACATAAGCAAATTTATTTGCAAATATATCTCATGTACTAATAGAAGAATTAAGTAATAAAGGTAGCTATAAAATTTGAGAAATTACTCATGTAATCAAAGGAGCAAGAATCGTCTGGGGTGTCAATGAAATGGAGAGGACTAGTCCATCTGTACTTGTACCAATGTCGTATTTGATCAGGCCAAGTGCATAATGCTGATAAATCTCCACTGACATAGTGAGGGAGCAGATTTTGAACTGTTTCTGCTGCTTCAGGCTTCAATAAATCCTAAGTTGCAAATGAAAATTTTGATGATACGATCACTAATCTTAATAAGAAGAAACTGAAATGGCTTATGCGTACTTTTGAGTGCCTAATCTTATAATATGAAAGTTTAATTGCAGATACACCCACGCTCCGTACTATGAGGATATGTTCATGTGAGAATCACATGGTGATAATTATCTTTTGCCTCCGGATTAACTAAAAAAAGGCTTAATTGTCCCTAAATTCAGGAAAAAATAGTAAATCATCTGAATAATAAATTAATTTGCAGGATATAAGTGGCTACACCTCATAAAACAGTTGTGGGTATATGCGATTAATCGTCTTAAAAAATTTTCGGTGTGACATAATTTTTTGCTCTACCATGACAAGATTCAAACTAAGAGTCCATGAAATCTCCTTGAAAAAAAAATACAACATCTGGTTTCTTTGCATAGCTGCTTGGGATTAAGCCTAAACTTTTACCTGAGCAATTCGGCAGGTCATTATGTGTCCCTCTTTACTCCATGATTGAACTCGTAGAGGATCTGAAACCAGAATTAAACCGAGTAATATTGCTAAAAACCTCATGGCTCTGTCCCTTGTTCCTCGCCTCTTGCTCTGTTGCTCATATACACGTATAAGAGTGTTCTTTGAGTGCAAGGCTTTACTGCCAGATAGGAGCTTATAGTTAGCTGCTCATACAAGCAAATGCCATTGTGGATTCCGGAATAAACAAAGGCATCTTTTGAAGCAGATAAAGAGATCATTTGGTTCACTGTAGTTGAAGGAGTTACGACTGAAGTTGCAGCTGAAACGTTTTTTCAGTTAAACGCGATTTGCCGCGACTAATTAATACGTGAAGATGCAACAATAGCTGCAAAAAGGTCTCCAGGTGCAGTTGATGACTTATGCAGATTTGGGCATAAAACTACATTTTATTTTTTTAAGCTGTAAATGAAAAAATTGCAATTGCAGTTGCAGTTAGATCCAGAGAGATCAAGTTCAAAATCTAATATCATAAAGAGAATATTTTTGCAACAACGTTTATACTTACAAATTACAGAATTTTAAAACTGAATCAAGCAACTATAACCACAAGCGCATTCAACAATAAATAAAGGTTAACTTCTTTTTTCCCCTCCCTTTTGCATAAAAAAGGAAGATGATGTTGTAAGTTAGGGGAAGATAAAGAGTGACGTGAAAGACTCGTGAACCAAAGCTTGGTGGTTTATGTTGTCGGAGGGTTGGATGGTGACAATTGCTCTTCATAATGAAACCTTGTGTCCATTGATTCCATGTGTTTCTTCTTTATTTAGGGTGTAGAGAAAGGTCATATTCATACGCAAGCAACATCCATTTGTGTAAGCAATAGGGAAAAGAACATTCATCCAAGGGCTTCTGATAATGAAATATCAAAGACGCATTCCATGGCAAGTCTAAATAAAAAGGGATTCAGATCCTCTTCACTGTCAAGAAAGTCAAGAAAGTAGTGGCGGAACCACTATATGTTGTGCGCAGCGAAAATTTCGACAGCACCTCCGGTGCGTAAGGTGCACAACAAGAGATTAGATCACAACGGAAAGCTAACTCACAACAACGGACTCAACCCACAACAAGTCGAGAACCCGAACGAGAGTCCAAATAATCTCACCCCCATCAACTAATCCAAACCGGCTTCCACAACAAGTCGAGAACCCGAACGAGAGTCCAAATAATCTCACCCCCATCAACTAATCCAAACCGGCTGCATCGTAAAGACTGCATCAACATCAACTAATCCAAACCGGCTGCATCGTAAAGACTGCCTACGTATCCTCTTGCCCAAGGAATCAAGCCAAACGTAGTTCACCCAATGGCCTTGAAAGGCCTCAACACCGAAGAATATTCAAAAGTTCCAAACAATGACCAAACTTAACACCTTTAACAACTTTGGTCAACATATCTGCAGGGTTGTCCTTCGTGTGGATCTTCTCCAACATGACGTCTCCTTCATCCAAAACATCACGAACAAAATGGAATCTGACATCGATATGCTTCGTGCGTGCATGATAAACCTGGTTCTTCGCCAAATAGATAGCTGACATGCTATCACAATATACCCGAAGGGTCTCCTGTGCAATCCCCAAGTTCTCCAATAATCCCTGCAACCACAAAGCCTCCTTCACAGCTTCAGTCAACGCCATATACTCTGCCTCTATAGTGGAGATAGCCACTGTAGACTGAAGTGTGCATCTCTAACATACCGGTGCTCCTGCTAGTGTAAACACATATCCGCTAGTAGACCGACGCTTGTCCAGATCCCCGCATAATCAGAATCCGCGTAACCAATACAATCCTGTCCGTTCTTCTCATTCTTCTGAAATACCAAACCAACATCCACAGTACCTTTGATATACCGTAGAATCCACTTCACGGCCTCCCAATGACTCTGCCCGGGGTCGTGCATGTACCTAGATACCATGCTCACGGCCTGTGACAAATCTGGCCTTATACACATCATCGCATACATCAAGCTACCCACAACATTGGCATATGGAACTTTGGACATGTATTCACGGTCTTCAACTGAAACAGGTGACATCTTAGTTGATAGCTTAAAGTGGGAAGCTAATGGAGTACTCACCGCCTTGGCATTACCATCATAATTGAATTTCTTCAGTATCTTCTGCAAGTAACTCATCTGTGTCAACTTCAACCTCCCCTTCACCCTGTCTCTCTCGATCTCCATACCCAATATCTTCTTTGCTTCTCCAAGATCCTTCATCTCAAATTCGGATGACAGCTCCTTTTTCAACTTTCTAATAGCCGAAGTATTCCTGGAAGCTATGAGCATATCGTCAACATATAACAACAAATAGATATACTCACCATTCTGTAACTTGTGCATATAAACACACGGGTCATATGGGCTCCTCGTATACCCTCGGCCAATCATAAAGCCGTCGAATCTCTTGTACCATTATCGCGGCGATTGCTTCAATCCGTAAAGAGACTTCTTCAGCTTGCATACCAATTCTTCCTTTCCTGCAGCTTTGAACCCCATAGGTCGTGTCATGTAGATCTCTTCTTCTAAATCTCCATGTAGAAAGGCTGTTTTAACATCCATCTGGACCAAATCTAAATCCATCTGTGCCACCAATGCCAATAAAATACGAATCGACGAATGCTTCACAACAGGTGAAAATACGTCGTTGTAATCAACGCCCTCTAACTGTGCATATCCCTTGGCAACCAATCTGGCTTTGAATCTAATTTCCCCAATAGAAGATCCCTCTTTCTTTGCATACACCCACTTGCATCCAATAGCCTTCTTTCCTTTCGGTAGCTTTGCAAGTTCCCAAGTGTCGTTCTTATGAAGAGACTGCATCTCTTCCTCCATAGCTTCCCTCCACCTAATCGAATCAGAGCTTGACTCTGCTTCGTTGAATGTAGAAGGAACTAAATCATCAACGACTTCTGCTGATAAAGCATATGCAATTATGACATCGTCATATCTAGCTGGCCGACGAATATTTCTGTGTGGTCTATTAGCTACAATGGACTCCTGAACATGACCCTGTTCCTGAGTCCCAACATCCACTGTATCCTCTAAATGCCCGACTGTCATCTCATCTCTTTCCAGTGTCACCTCTGTAGGAGCCTCAATGAATACAATGCTATCTGGAGTGAGTGGAGTCACATCATCCTCCACCTGTTGCGATATCCCAACTGTCTTGTCTTCCTCCACCTGCTGAGGAACTTGAGGCTTCATCATGTACGCCTCGTCAAATGTGACATCCCTGCTAATAACTATCTTCTTGTCTTGTGGATCCCATAACTTGAAGCATTTAACTCCATCTCTAAATCCCACAAAGACTGCTTTCCTCGCCCTCGGATTTAATTTACCATCACTGACATGGTAATAAGCAGGACACCCAAATATCCGAAGCGACTCATAGTCACTAGCTACCGAACCAGACCAACGCTCCAACGGAGTCTTTCCCTGTATCGCAGTGCACGACAACCTATTCACGAGATGGCTCACATAAACCAACGCTTTGGCCCAAAATGATCTTGACAATCCACTCTGTGTCATCATACATCGTACCTTTTCCAGCAAGGTACGGTTCAACCTTTCAGCCACCCTGTTCTGTTGCGGTGTCTCACGTACTGTGAAGTATCGTCTAATGCCATGATCCTAGCAAAACTGCAAAAATGGATCACTCTTATACTCTCCACCGTTATCTGAACGTAGAGTCTTCACCTTTCTACCTGTCTGCAGTTTCACTTTCTTTTTCCACTCCACAAAAATATCCAGGACCTGATGTTTATGCTTCATCGGGTATACCCAATTCCTCCTGGAATAATCATCAATGAAAGTGACAAAATAGTTGGCCCCACCAAGTGATGTGTGCTTGGAAGGGCCCCAAACATCTGTGTGAATGTAGTCCAATATACCTTGGGTATTGTGAATAGCGGTGCCGAATTTCACTCTTGTCTTCTTCCCAAGTATGCAATGTTCACACAACTCCATCTTGCAGGTCTTTGCACCCTTCAATAGCCCCTACTTCGTCAATACCTGCAGGGACTTATCACCAGTGTGTCCTAATCTCATATGCCATAAGCTGGTAGTATCTTCCTCTGTGGTAATCGAAGCTGCCAGACCCCCTGTTACTGTCTTGCCTTTTAAGTAGTAAAGGTTGTTTTTCCTGACACCTCGCATCACCACCATGGACCCCTTTGTGACCTTCAGAGTCGCATTCTCCAAGATCACCTTATAGCCAGCTGTCTCCAAAGTTCTAAGTGAAATGATATTCTTCATCAATTGAGGAACGAATCTCACTTCCATCAACTCCCGAGTTACCCCGTCACACATCCGGATCGGTACTGTACCAATACCACCAATAGAGGATACGTGATCATTACCCATGAGCACGACATCCCCTCTTTCCAACTCCTCAAAGCTGGAAAACCAATCCCTCCTAGGGCAAATATGGTATGTAGTACCAGAATCCATCATCCACTACGTAGAGTCAGCATAACAAACTGACGGTAATACAGAGCAAGAATAGCCAGAAGAATCCGTATCTGAATTGTCATCACTAGCCTTGACAACATTCACTTTCGAAGCTTGTACAACTTTCCCTTTATTCTTCCCGGCTTTGTCTTTCAACTTTGGGCAGTCGTTCTTCCAATGTCCTTCTTCTTTACAAAAGCGACATTGGTTCTTACCAACACTCTTATGGCCACCTTTATTCCTCGATTTTGAGCGGTTGAACTAGCGACGGTTTGGATCACGGCCTCGAACTGCTAATGCATCTCCCGATGCCTTCTCGGAGGGTTCGCCATCACTCTTCCTCAACTCATAATTCACCAAAGCTGAGGTCACCTCCTTGTAGCTAACCGTAGTTCTTCCATTTATCATAGTGAGAACAAACGTACCAAAATCATCCTCCGGTAACGAACACAATAGTAGCATCACCTTGTCTTCATCCACAACCATGATATCTACATTCGCCATATCCGAAATTAGCTTCGTGAAGTTGTTAACATGCTCCCGAATGGAAACGCCCATCTTCATCTTGAATTGGTAAAACCTCTTCTTCAAGTAAAGCCGATTCTCAATGCTCTTCGTCAGATACTTCTCATTGAGTGTTTCCCACA